TGCTTCTGTAGCAATAATCACCTTAGAAACCTTGTGACTGCCCATGCTCTCAAAGGTCCAGAGAAGACTCAGAAGCATCAAGAGATGTAACATCTGCGAAGCATCGCCTACTGTGCAACTTCACCTTGCCTCTATCATTTCTCAATACCCACGTACCTCCTGCCATACCATTTCTCTTAGACCAGGATACTCCCACATTACATTTAAGCCAATTTCTTGTAGATATGACTCAGGTTATTCTCCACACTACCACTATTCGTAGCCTCCCGCTTCCAAGTAAGCCTTATTCACAACCTCTAAGACAGAAAACTGTTTTCCTTCAATAAACAACCCATTCAAATTTGTATGCGTAGACGGTTTCACCAAGGCTACATCTGTGATACATTCATCTTTCTTGTAATATTTTCCAAAACTTTCATATCATTAACAAGACGCATGACATCTGTTACTTGTTGGCATTGACCTGGACCGACCATACAAATTTGGTCTCTTGGGCAATAACACGATCTAATGGGCCGCGATCAATCTTAATGGGCCTAGTCGCATGATAACTCAAACAAATACTATAGCAATTTGTAATGTATTTTATAACCAAGGATACATTCAAAGTATTACAGTTGTATAGAAGACGCATACAGTATCTAGATTGTATATACTCGTAGACTGTTAAGGTAAAATAAGTTTTTGTTATTTCAGATAAAATATAGGGGAAATAAGTTAAAAGGCACAGTAAATTGACCCAATATAAAGACAACATATCCAATAAAACAATATTTTTTGCCACATTCTTGAATATATATATAATATCAACTAGATAGTGACCCGCGGTATATATCGGGATAATATGATATGCGAGTAAAATTAATCTAGTTTTAGTTAAAAAAATAATTTATAGTTATTGAAAAAATTATTATACGGAATCTAAAACTCGTTTATATATATGAATTTTGTAACTCTTTTGTATAGAAATACACCCCATCTGTGAAATAATTGAATTTTTTTAGTCAATATATATCACATACTAATAACGTATTTATTTACTATCATAATTTTTAAAAATATGGTTTATGACTCAAATATACAAAATAAAATATTGCAAATATGAATTGAATTTTATAGGTTTAAGGTAATTATAAGAATAGGTGAATATTAATAGTAAACTTTTTTATTTTTTGTTTTTAAAAAACAAATCCAAAAAATTGTTTTCTAATAATGTTTGGTTGTAAGGATTGTGTGATTGTGTAGTGTTTGGATA